TATTAAATGCAATAGTATTGTTTCAATATGCAGCCAAATTCAATACCCAATGAATTTGCTGAAAGCAGCATTGGTCATTTTGGGTTTCTAGGCCATTCCTTTTTTAAGATTACCTAAAACTGGAGCAAAAAAATTTCAAGTAGATAGTACACAACTTGGTAGATGTGTACATTACTGACCATCATTCAGTGGAACCCCACCTTACGGTGACACTACTATATGGCCACCTCATTGTTATGGCTTCTTTATTCTGGCCCAAACAAAAGCTCAGTCAGTCATTTTTTTTTTTACCTAAAGAACCCCTTTAATACAGGCAACCCAATAAGGTGGCCGAACACAGTTTCACGCGCACTTTTGCTGATGCAATTCAGCGCACACACAAGGATTGCAAAAAACAAACGCGCCGTCAATAGACCAATCATTTTATTTACACATTTACACAGTATCTGTGCTATTTTTCTCTATAATTGAATGCAGCGTATTGATGGCTTTAGTCTTTTATTACAAAGATATGTTAGAAAAGGTAACGATGCAAAGAACCCAGCAACTCTCAGCTTTTTCTTTCTTACTGAAAGAACCCAGTTAAATGCAGCGCATGCATAGTAAGTCAAAAAATTGTAATTGAATTAAAATTGCACTCTCGGAAATATGCCTATTTCTCGAGAACCACTCATTAGAATTTCACAAAATTTGGCACGAAAATACTTTAGGAAATAAGTAACTGGAGTATTGAAAATAATTGAACTTTAACAAAGGAAATTCCTGTGAACCTTCAACAAGGGATAATTAAAGATCTCTCTGTTAAATTATTAGCAAAATGTTGTTAACTTGTGCGAATTGTTACAAGCTTGTTACATGCAAATTATAAAGAAAATCTAATAACTAGATTTTCTGCAAATAAACAAAACTGATTTTAAAAACCTGTTTATATTTATTCATGTTGCCATGGCAACGGCACATAGTCAGCTTAACCATAAAAAAACCAAAGTTTGTGTTGTTAGCTAGCTTGCTACCATTTTTGACAACCAAGGGATCAAGGGTTTTAGAGAAAAAGGTGAATGAAACACAGGTATCAAAAACTGTGTTCAGCCACCTAAATACAGCCAGATTTTTGTGTCCCATTGGTGACTGGATTAATGGGGTTCCACTGTATAACCAAAGTGACTGCTAATCATTAACATTTGGTTGTCATAATAAGAAAGGCACTTCTAAGATATATATGTTGTGGTTCAATATTACCCCTAGT